TTTGCATTTATTCTTAATTTGATTCTTATGCTATCGCGCATTGCAAAGCCTCGCTTAATAAGGTGAAGTAATTTCAATTGAAAAATTAATAAAATAATATAATTATATAAACATAGGAGCAAGTGCCGAATAAACATGTATTCAGCCCATGCGCAACTTATCGCGGATGTAGTGTATAATTATATTTATATGCTGCGTTAAATATTCTTCGAGCAGCATTTATAAAGTAATTCACTATAAATGAACGACATCTACCTGGAATGGAAGAAGAAAGGTTTATTGGATAAGGACAAATATAGGAAATGTGGTTCGTGATGCTCTTCTTATGATACAAAGAACTTGTTGTAGGTACACTCATAGAGAAAAAAAAAAGTTTGCATAAATATTAAGTATTTGATAAAATAACTTTAAATATGTATATGTATATTCAAGTAAAAGAAATATTATTTTTACAGTTTTTAAATTCACAAATAATATGAAAATCAATATATATATATATATATATCTATAATATTACTTACAATATAAATTCCAAACAATTTTATAAACAAATAAAAATAAAAATTTATAATAAAATATTGGATAAATTAAATATTATATAATTTTTATTATTTTAGAGAGTATTCCAAATTATTTATAACCAATATTGAAAGACATAAGGCCTGTTCTTTTTGGCTGAACTTTTGCAGCAGTTTATCTTTCTTTTCTCCGGGAGAAGAGAAAAAAAGAAGAAAGATAAACTGGTGCAAAAGTTCAGTCAAAAAGAACAGACCTATTAAGTGCATCTTAATCCTTCATTATTCATTAAATATACACGTCTTATCATTGGATGGGAAAAATGGTGCTAGAATGTATGTCTTACTTGTATCGGTGTTGAAAATATTTGTAATTATTTGTATTAAAATGGTCCTGAAAAAAATCTGTTGCATTGCCACACAATGCGCGCGCATGTTGAATAATGTTAATAAAATAAAAATACCTGTTCTCGTTTCGCTGTTTTTTCCTCTTTCTCCTTCTTTCGCACTTCCAGAAGATATTCGTTGAAAAGGCTTTCTCGTTCGCGCATCTTTTCTACATTCTTAAACCGTTCATCCCTTCCGTGTTTTTGAGCAAAATCGCTAAATGATGATCTACAAAAATATAGTATAGAAAAAATAAATATAGAAATGGATACTTTCTGTAGAAATATTATTAAATAAAAAATGGGGGAAAAAATGCTTTTTTTGTATACGTACTTTCCATGAAGTCCTGCCTCTTCTAAAAGCTTCTGGAATTGTTCTTTTCGTTCTTTCATCTTATTCCTCTTTTCTCGTCTTTCTTCTTCCGCTCTCTCCTTTACGTATTTCTCGAAGACTTGTTTCCTTTCCTTTGACGTTAGAAGTAAATAGCGTGGGTCAAATACTATTTTATGAAGTTCCTTTTCCCAAGTACTGAATGCAGATACCTGAAAACACAAATTCAGTTGTTTTCGATATAGATATATAAGAAATTGATTGAAGAATTGGTTTGAAGATTGTAAGTAAAACAGTGAAATGAACTTTAATCTATTTCGGAAGCAATAAATTAAAGTAACATTATAGTCTGTATAAATAATAGAAGAGTATATAATAATTTACATCTTTTTCCGCAAGCATATCTCTGAATGATTTGATCCTCGTTTCCAATGGAACTATCGCCCTCTCCCTCGCTGCTCTCACTTCGGCCTCTATCGCAGCTTCCTTACCGATGTCGATGGTCTTTTTTCCTTCCTTTTCTTCTTCTTCCTTAATGGGTGTGGCTGAAGGAAAAAATACCAAAATTATTTATTTTTAAAAAAGAAAAAAAAATGAATGCAATCGTGCAGTACTTAATTTTAGAGTAACAATTACTTTTGGTATCTTCGTGTTTCATCTTTTTGGCTGGTGTGGGCTGATCATCATCGCTACTCTCACTAGTATCCGATTGACGTGCTGGTTTTGTAGCACCAATCGCATCTGGTGGCGTTGAAATCATCTTGTCCACATCTTGACGGCCAACAAGATCATCCGGCCTTTCCCAAACTGATATCCTCGAAGAAGGATTGTAGAAAAATACCCGTCCATCTCCCGTCCAAACGACGCACCTTTACAAACGAATATATTCATATAAATATACATACAATACGAATAGTAATATAAAACAAATTAATATTTCTAAGTATACCATGGAGTTCCAGGCACTGGCGTACTGGAAATTGGTCTAGACTTGTCTTGAGGTTTTGCAGGTTCCTTTGCAGTATTTTCCTCTTTCTTCGGTTTAGCGTTATCAACATCTTTTGTACTATCTTTGGTTTCTTGAACATTCTCTGGCGGCTTGTCTTGTTTGCTAGGTTCAACCGTAGTAGTACTATTGTTGGTAACAACAGTAGTTGTAACGGTGGTATTGGTGGTAGAAACAGCACTTGCTTCTTCATTTTTCTGCCGTAATGTTAATTTCGCATCTAACAGAATGAAATTTTAAAATACATTATTGGATTTAAGATATTAACTATAAAATTATTATATTAAAAAAAATTTTAATATCTACGTTAGTTATTTTGCTTTATGGAGATAATTGTTGTAAAGAAATTATTTATTACATACTTTCTAGATCTTTCAAGGCTTGTGGTTTTTCCCATACTGATTCTCCTGCTTTACTGTTGTAGTAATAAAATCTACCGTCTGGTGCACGATGCTCGGTCCAGACCATAGCAGCTGCTACTAATTCAGAATCAAGTTGTGCTAGTATAGCAGGATCTTCAGCAGGCGCTTGAGGTGTCATTACACCATGAGGCATTTGTGGCATACCTAAAAAAGAATGTAGGTGTATTCTATTACGATCTATTTAAGAATTATAAAAATATTTCTTTGTTTTTTCTGTCATTTATCAAACTGTTTTTATTTCACGTATTTTACAATACCCCAATTTGTTTGTGGTGGCCCATAACCGCCAAAAGGTTGGAAACCAGGCGGTGGCATTCCGAAGGGCGTTGCTCCGAATTGCGTTGCGATCGGATTACCAAACTGATTTGGCATTCTATGCTGCATAGGGATCATATTTGGCGGCGGTTGCATTATGTTTGTATTTACTGTCGGTGTATTTATCGGTGGCGTGTTGGTAACTGTTGTGGGTGCTGTGCCTAATATTTCAAGATTTCATCTCTTAATGACAACATTTTAATGTAAATTTAAAAAACTTCAATGTTAAAATAAATATATAAAGCTCAAAAACATTTTCAAAATATATCAAATTACCGTTTGATTGATTTGTTTCAGATGTTTGGTTATTAACATCCGGTGCATCATTTAATGTAGGTGGTGGTCCGGTACCAGGAGGTGCCGTACTCAATTGATTAATAGCATCTGTATTATTAGAAGACGATTGTTCACCGCCTTGAGGAATTCTATTTTCACTAATCTTGGTCGGTGTACTACTTGATGGAGTAGGTGTGGTAGAACGTGTTGCCGCTTGTTTTGACGCGCCATGTACTAACTGTTCCAACTGCAAAATCATGAGACACTTTGTTAAGAATTGTTCAGAATGAATCGTTTCACATTTTATTTAAACGAACAAAATAAAATTTCAATTTTACTGACGAGTTAGTAAACTTACCGATCTTTGTTATGACATTGCTAATTGTCAATTTTTTGAAATATGGGGGGTTCTTTTATTTATACTTTGTTCCCTTGCCTGTATTTTACCCGCGTAAAAATACATATCAATAAATAAAATATACCAATAAAACTAATGGCAAAAGAAGAAAAAAATACAAAACATAATAAAAATGTACAACCCAGATTTATAATCACAATCGAGATAAATAAAATAATAAGATTTGCAAGTAAATAATTTTAAAAAATATACAAATCAAAACTCGCATTTATTTACCTGATCTTGTACCATGACCTTTACATTTGGTCCCTCTGGTTTAGTCCATGTGGTATCTCTCGTACGAATATTGTAATAATACGACTTGCCATCAGCCGCTTTCGTCTCTACCCACACTTCTCCATTGAGATCTAGACCTGGAATGTTTGCTTGCTGTTGTGCTTGTTGGGGTGGCTGCTGTTGTCCTGGAATCTACGGCATACATTTCATTTAGGAAAGTATTCTCATGTGTTTTTTATAATCCATTTTTTCAAAAACAACAAGCATGTAAATGAAAGTATACGCTATCTACAAGTTACATTATTAAAAACAAGTATAGAACAATATTGGCAATACAAGAGTTGTTAAAAAATAAATTTTTCTTTATAGATAACTTACGCTGTTCATGTTAGGTGGTCCCATTCCAGGTGGTGGTCCATATGGACCTGGTCCTGCACCCATAGGGCCATTCATCATATGTGGTGGTGGCTAAAGTAATAATTAGGATTCAGAAACACTGATATAAATTGATAATTATTAAAATATTCCATACATACCATTCCTGGAGGTCCCATTAAATTTGGAGGTCCCATGAAATTAGGAGGTCCCATTGGTCCCCAGCTGGGATCAAACGGCGGTGGTCCTCGGAATCTTGGTCCTGCTGGACCAGGTGGACAATTTGGCCTTGGTGGAGCTTCGAAAGGAAATCCATTATTTGCTCCACGGAACATTGGCCCACGTGGTCCGAATCCTCTTCCTCTAAACCTTGGGGACCCACCTCTCATAGGGAAATCAAACCCACCTCTGCCACGACCCCTTAAATTATTTTTATACGTTGTGACTAGATATCTTAGCGTTCTACCATGCCACTTAGAGAGGAAGGAAGATCAGAAGTATCTTTCCGAATCTTACTTGACTCTTAAGAAAAACAAAAAGATACGCTCTGCTCCACACGCTGCGGATCTGATCTGCTCGCGTCAGGCACCGCGCATATTCACGTAACGCTTCTATAAACAAGTACTAGAAAATTACTTGGAAAGAGAGATGATAGCATTAATTAATTAACTCCCGCGCGAAGCGCGAGGAGCCTTCGCACGAGCCGGTGTCGGTCCAAAAATAAAAAAAATATATCCGACATTTGCGTATGTCAGGGCAGAAGTGAAAACGCACGACGGAATCGGGACGCTGTCAACTCAAATCAGATAGGATTAGATATGGAAACATAACGGGAAGAGCGAAGAGCATGCTGAGAAGGAGAGAGTAGGAGGAAAAGAAAAGATGCGACCAACACCATGAAAAGATCGCCGCTCGCGGAGCCGGACGACGCGGCGCGTCGCGATACGCACCGAAAGCCGCCGCGGCCACGCGGCATGAAATGCCTGTAATCGTCGCCCTCGTAGTTGTACTCCTCTGTTTCCTCCATTGCCTCGTCATTGTGCTCCTGCTCGTTGGCGGAGGCGGACTCGGTGGCCGCGATTGCGGCCGGCTGCTCGCTGTTCGCGTCCATCTCTTCAGAACAATCAAATTCAGAACAATCCCAAGTTAAACACGAAGAGATCAACAAACAAGCCCGTCACGACAGAAAAGTCCTGTCTCACACGCCCATTCGCTATCGCTTCACTCTCGTTATCAATCCCTCTCTGCTTAGCTGATCTTCGTCTGACGCAGAAAAAAAAAAACGCCACGGACAAATTACTATTCTACGCGGATACGGGCCGTAAACACGTCGCTGGCTGCAAACCACTGCAAACAGTGCCAAACACGCGCGAATTCCCCTAAATGCTGCCAAGCGGCCTCTATCATCGACTCTACCTATCTTTTAACCTCGCTCATTGGCCATTGGATTTGTCCCATGGTGGTACGTACATACATACAGGAACTGGAGTGGAGGAAATGAAATGGCAAATTGGAAACTCGGTTTAGGGCTTTTCGCTTTCGAGAAATCAAGCGACCGCCATGTTTGAGAGCGCAATTCGTATTTTACATACCAACGAGAAAGTTAAAATAACGTCAATTTGCCAAATAAAGTCATCACGTAACCGAATTTATATCAGTTTTGTTTTTTATATAATTCAGTCAGTATAACATTATTTTGACTTTCCAATTGTTCTCTTTAAACGTTTAACTCCACTCAAAATATATGGTCATGATCGATTATAGTTGCTGCTGATATTATTGTTAATCGTTATAAAAGTGATTACAATTAATTATATTTGTTGCTAAAAGTTTTGCCATTTAGAAAAAGAAATGTGAGAAGAAATTTCCACGAAGAAAAATAAAATCAGTGAGAAAAATGTAAATATAAAAATATATTGTATGAAAAATATTAATCGTATTATAAAATGTCATGTTATTTATATTTATGTTATGATTTAAGAAGTAACAATATTTTTTCTTTTCTTTTTATAGATATAGATGAATTATGTAATGTAAATTACTCGTCAGATTTCAATTCTTATAACTATGATGAACAGTATTCTTAATTAATATTGCAAAGTTTTGTGATTGTATTTATATAAAGTTATATACGTGATCTAAAATATGAACACAATTAATTGATCAAGCTTATATTATGTTCAGGCTCTTATACTCTGTAATTCTTAATGACATTATATATTGAATCTATTCACGTTGCTTGAAATTTTCAAAAAGGATATGTTTAAGCATTGACGAAAAAAAGTTTCTAAATATAAAAAGTGTAAGCGATGCAAACAAACTATAGGTGCGTTCCGATTCGTACATGATGTGCATAATGCATCAATTGTCCTTGTTTAACGTTTGGTGGGGAAGAATAAACGATACATTAAGTATACGCATCATGAAACGAAACGCGCGCACCCTATATTATCGTTGCACAGAGCTCTTTATAGGTTTATTTTTTTTTCATTATAGAATGTAAAACTTTCTTTCTGTCTAAAAATACTGAACATGTATCTATTTCACTTTAAATTTCAAAAGTATACCAGTTCATTTACAAAAAACATAGCTTATATCTCGGCATCTGAAAAATCCGAATTTTGAATTCAGCAATGACTATACAAATCCATGTTAGTTTCCAAGAAATTGAAATAGATAAAAATTGATTTGTGTGATCATTTCCGAATCCAAATTCTGATTCTTCAGATAGGTATAATAGTAGAAAAAAATGGTTTAACAATGTAACAACCCAAACATCACAACAGCGTCTGCAATAAAACGCAAGAAAGGCGTTTGTACACACTTTCTATTTAGCGCTTTCTTAATATGCTTTATAGGCGATGTAATATGCTACTTGACAATATCGTTAAAAATTACAAAATAAAGGCCTGTAGTGTTTATAATATATTTATTATTCTACAATATATAGAAGGTATATGTATATACTACAGTTAATATAATACACTTTTCTCGCCTTGCATTATGTAGAATTTCAACTGAACACAAAACATAATTAATTGTCAATGTCATATTATTTCATTTTCAATGTCTTTTTACTTGAACCTTTTTCCAAAAATTCAGACAGCATTTTCGCATACTTTTCGTTATAAGCAGCATATTTTTCCAAATCATCATCGGTTGGAGGCATTGGCCATTCTGTGTTTGAGTATGGCGTTACTTCGAGACTTTCAAATGAACCATCCTCTTGTCGTACAGCTAATCCGATTACTGCAGGATGTGTTACCATTGCCGCCGATGAAGTCAATCCATAATGAAACAACTGTACAGTAGAATCGGATAATTCCTTATATTCATCAAGATGGCAATTGTTTAGAAACATGATAAATAGCTGTTGATCCTGTGGCTGTACTTTGAATATAGCTGTAAAATATATATATTCATTTCAACATTAATGTGTTTCTGCTTATATCTCTGCCTATTAATTTTTTTAGATACACATGTCTTACCTTCAATCATTTTCTTGAGATTAATAACTTGGATATTCTCCTGCACGTTGAGGTATAAAGTCACCTTTTTCCGTCTAATTACCACATATACATCTACATTTGTACGTATATTATGTATTGCTTCTTGTTCACTATCACTGCTAATCACCTCCTCCTAAGATATACTCTTAAAGATCAATTGATTTGGAAAGAAAATGTATTTGGTAATCAAATAAAGCAAAATGGATTAGAAACTTACCATTGAATCTAATGCCTGATAAAGTCAAGATCGATCAATATTATTTTTCCTAGAACAATAAATCTAGAATTGTGTGTTTATCAGCAGGTTAACAATGTTGACAAATTCAGTATTATCATTTATAGAATTTTAAAATAAACATATACTTCTTAACATTAGTAATATTATAATCTTTAATAAAGATTTGAAATTCAAAAAATATACCTTGTATATTTTGTTAAATTTTTGTATATTCGCAGTTACGAACGTATAAAAGTGAATATAAATATAAATGAAACCGCGTTACTTATTTAAATAAAACATTCTTTGTCTATTTCTTTTCTTATTCTTTCGTTACATTCTGTGAATGCCTTTGTTTTTGAAATCGAACATTCACGTTTCGATTAAAAAAAACCTAAACACACAATGAATTGAAAATCCCTCGTTCTAAATGGAATATGCACGATGTTATTAAAGATATCGATATGGCCAAGGTGACGATGATTTTACATAATTTTGATTTATGTAAAATTAACAAATTTAAACACTCACATAAACATTAACTTGAAATAATTTATAAATCACAAATGGTTATAATTATATTTGTGTTATCTCTTGTGTTGCTGCATCGAAAACACTTGAACGATTCGAATTACCTTTTCGTGAATTTATTCAACGTTGTGTCGCTTATGAACAATTATAATCTTTATAAATCTTCCAGAATGCAGCTTCGAGAAAAGAAAATATGTAGAAATATGCGGAACTTGTAGAAAAAATTATCAACTGAAATTGTTGGAGCTGTTAACGCTTCAAGAGCACGATTACCAATTGACCATCCTGGCATGAGAAAAGAAATCTGAAGTAAACCGCAAGATTCATTGGCTGTCGCGTCAATTCCACGTGCTCGATTTACAAAGCACCGACTTTGGAGTGGTCTTCAAAAATTCAATCTTAAATTTAAAATCCTGAAAAAAATCATACAATAAAGTCGTACAATCTATTGAAATATAATCTATTATTTACGATCCATTAAAATCGTACATATAGTCCAGAAACGTATGTTATACAGACATTTCATTGGCTGAATGAAATCTTAAGGCTATTTAAAATCAGACTTATATTTAATATCGAACTGTGAAATATCGCCCTTAGTTTTCTTCAATAAACACACACACTTTCCTAAGGCAAAAAAGGCGCGAAAGACACTTCATTTGGCATGTGCCGTATCATTTGCTGTATTTTTAGTTAAATATCGTGTGTATTTTAACGTGCTATAAAACGATACGAATCAATATTGAAATTATCAAGAAATAAAAGCCTTTGACATCTACAGAGAATAACGAAAACAGTGAAAAAAGTTACCGGTCGAAAGGTTAGAATTGAATGTAAGATATGAAACAATTTATAATACTCTGTGTTTCGCCTACATATCTTATACTATATAAACGATATTGCAAACGATCTACATATAAATTTTCATTTCTTCGGATATCAGTTGTGAATGTGTTTTAAAAAGAAAACACAATACAGCTTTTCGAGGAATATCTTGGAGGTCTCTATGTTGTGTGGGAATTGTTGAAGAATAATTAAATGCAATTGGAAGATCAAATATACCTTTTAGTACTTATTGAATTTGTTTACAATTTTAATATGTCACACAAATGCACAATAATGTAAATACATACATTCGAGCACACTATTGTGTTGAGTCAAAGTAGTGCACAATGTTAGATTTAAGATAATTGAGAATGTTCTTTTTATTGTGTATAAGATCTTATTAATAATAATGTATGTTTATTGTATATAGAATATATTTGTTAATAATGGTACACAAAACTGAAGAATCTATTGGAAATCTACCTTCAAGACTGGAAAATGGAAAACCACAGGAATTTAAAAGACAGGACGTACAGTATGAAGACTTGTCGAGTGATTTTGATAGTAAATCGATCGACTTCTCCAAGCAATTTTGTAGCATATATGCAGTGAGATTGGCAGAGTTGAGAGAGGCATTGATACCACGAGTTGTTGCAAAATGGGGTGAGCTTTATACAGTGTTAGTTTTAACAAAATTCTACTTTATTAAAAATTAAGATTTTTATACACAAATACTTTGTGATTTTTATTATAAAATCAAGTTAAAAATCTTATCTTTTTTTTTTTTTTCCAGGGGATGTTCGGATAATAAAGTTAGCAGAATTGGAGGATTTTGAAGGAAAAGAATGCGTGATAATTGGTACACTCTATAAACACCAAAAGTGCAAGCCATCGATATTACATGAATTAAGCGAAGATCATCAACTCACATTGTCTGAACCAAAATTAAACTATTGCTCAGATAAGGATCAACTTTTCTTGGAAGATGAGATGCTGCGCATCAAATTAGTGATTGAAGATGCACATTTAAAGAATTATGTTACAGGCGTTGTATGTGCCATTTTAGGCCACAAGGACAAGAATGGCAGTTTCGAGGTATATAAATGGATTGAAATTAAAATTATACACACATACACATATATATGATATTTTATTCAGATCAAAGAATGGTGTTTTCCTGGTTGCGTGCCTAGAAGTTCACTTGCACAGCCAAAGTCCAAAGGAAAACTGGTATTCTTATCTGGACTCGACTTGGCAAATACTTCAATGAAATTATCGTTGAGTCTTTTAACTGAATGGATATGTGGGATGGCAGGAGAAGCAGCGGCACAAGAAGATGCCACTGATATTGTTCGAGTTATTATTGCTGGTACATCGGAAATTTAAAATGTCTTTAAAATAATTGTGTTCATTTTCACACTTTAGTATTACTGGATCCTACGTAGGTAACTCGGTCAAAACTGTTACCAAGACGAATACTTTAATGGGACACGCCGAAGGAAAGGCACAGGACGCCGCTATAACGAAAGAAGTTGCTAGGGCAACGACACTCGCAGATTCATTTCTCTATGAAATAGCAAAATGTTGTTGCATTATTGTAATGCCAGGTCAGCACGACCCCACTAACGCAATGTTGCCACAGAGACCTCTTCATCCATGCATACTACCACAAACGTCTAGGTATTATACAAATATATGTGTGTATCGATTGCGATTCTTTAGAGTCACTTGAAAACTTTTTGTCTCTATTTTTGCATAACAAAGAAATATATGATTTTCAAAGTTGCTTTTGCTAATTTCTTTACAAAAAGACTGGTAGCATTACAATGATTCGAAATCGATATACATGAATAATTCATTATTTATAAATTTTTATGGATTTATTAGACTTTCCGTTCTAAATTCAAGTATAAATACAGTTCTGATAGAAACAATACGGTATCTTTTAGATTTCAAAGCTTTAAAGGTGCGACTAATCCATGGACCGGCAAAATCGCTAAACGTATAATAATGGGCAGCAGCGGACAACCTATTGAAGATATCATGAGAGCAACCGGTGAGACAGATATCTCTCCTTTAGATTGGTTGGAAAAAACGCTGCTTTGGAAGCACATGTGCCCGACTGCACCAGACACATTACCAGTATATCCTTACTCTGTAAAAGATCCATTTATCATAAACTATTGTCCGGATATATACTTTGTAGGTAACACGGATAAATTTGAAACGAAATTGTGGACAGGTAAGAGATAAATGTTACATAAAAAAATTAATATTTCCTCATATATTTGCAATATTATTTAAAATCCATTTAACACTTGTAGGTGAAGAAAATCAGGTGATTAGGCTAATATCTATTCCAAAGTTTTCTTCTACACAAATTGCAGTTATATTAGATATAGAAACTTTGGATACTGAATCTATTTCTTTTGGAACTGAATAAATGCATATATTTGAATAAATTCACGACTAATATAATTAGATAAAAATAGATAATCTAACGACTTTTTTATCGACAGATTATATCACTGCCGTTCTATATTTTTGTATATTTGTATACCATATTTTTGTTATAAAAAAAATTTGGAAATAAAAACAACACAATTGTTTATTTCAATAATTCTATATTTAATAGTAGATATTCTTCGGTTGTCTTATGCGTATGCAAGAAAAAGGATTCTTAAAGTGAAACTTGAAAAGATGCAAAATTGGGTTAAACTGTCAAAATTTGTTTTATGCTGTTAATCGTATTGTTATAATGCTGAAGATAGATAAACAGTTTTTGAACATGGCCGGAGACACTACCGCGTCTCCTGATACATACATAAACAAATACTTGCATGAAAAATTTGCATGTTGTAAAAGAAAGAACAATTTCTGTTGTCACCTATTTTTATTTGCATCTCGTAAAAGTGATGTACAAAATTGAAACGCATGCGACTTTTAAGAATTCGTAGACATTTTGCCTGGTTATAAAACTTTTAATACGAAAGAAAATACATGTAGTATCACAGACTATTAGAAAATTGCGAAATCACAGTGACACAAGACTTTATTTATATGAACGCTTAAATTAACAAGTGAATGTATACTTCACAAATTATACCAATGATAAGAACATAACAGTCAAAATACAGAGCATCAGAATTTAGCTGATAACACATTTTTAGTATTAGTAGTCTACATCGAATTTCACACGCTATGTCAAGAATATCTTCTATGATACATGAATTTACAATTTCTCTTTTATCATTTTATTTTTATGACGTTATCCTTACCTGTGTGTATAATGTAATAGTAATATCTTAAGACACAACCTGGTCATATATGTGAAAATTAAAACAGGATTATCTTAATTCTAAAAAAAAATCCATGCTTAAAGAAACTGATTTTGACTGTTACATAAAATTACGTTTGCGAAATTAGGTGCAAAAATTACGTTACGGACAATGTACAAGGATTTAAATACAAGGTTTGATATAATAAAAAGTAAAATTATAACGTACATTAAGCATTTGTAATATGCATATTAACATTTCTTGTAGAGTATGTCACACAGACTGCGATATATTCTCTCTCACAAAATAGAAAAAGCATGTATATATTGGAAGGTACATAGTGCTACAGAACAATTCAATTGGCACTTTTGTTTAAAGTGAAGAGCTCCGATCGCAAACATAAATATAGTTTTATACAAAATTTGTCATGAGATTCCACTTCTTTCAGAGAATTAATACTAGGTACTTACTATTTGTATAACAGAGCAGGAAAATTAATAATGCATATCCTAAACATAATATAACGCTAAAGTTCTAATGCTTTGGCCAAAATAACAATACTTAAAAAAAGTAATAATAATTAATTAAGGTTTTTCCATTAATTTAAGCAGAGAGAATGAAGTTATAAAATTTATATTTATAATACACTTTACAGGTTCCATAATTAACTTAAGGTGCAATGTTACATGACCGATAGGTATATATAACAATTGACAGGTAGCTTCTGCATATATATATATCTATATCTGTATGCGCGCGCGCGCGCTTGTGTATGTGTGTGTGTGTGTGTGTATATATATACACAGAGTAACGACGTAGACATACTGTACTGATTAAGTTTTATATCCTATCTTTTAGCTGTCGGACGTATTCTCTCCTTTTCAGTGTCTCTATCGTCAGCTACCGTCCATTCGGGATCATTGGGATCCTCACCGTCTATATCACAACAAGCCGATTCGGTTGAATCCGATTCGGGAGAATCCATTTCAGCTTCCTAGAAACGTAGAAATACGAATAGTTAAATACAACCGTCGTCATCGATAAATACTTATTAGCTAAACTGGTCGCTTTGCGAAAAAATTCTATTTAAGGTTGCAAGCTCTTATATGGCAGCTGCAAAAACCAAGGAGCAAACTAGAGTTGTGTAAAAGATTCTATAACGTATAGAAAGTAATGGTCGCGTTAATTTATATACATAAAACGCGATATTTTTTCATCATTAAACATTTGCTAATTGCATGTGTCTATGTGTATGTGAGATGAAAAATAAAATTAATCACGTTATAGAAATATGAAGCGTCAAGTGGTACTGCTTACCGGAAATAGCCTCGAGAGGAGCCATGAAAGTTGGCTCAAAGTGTATATTAATAGTCAGTAAGTACACTAGCACTCACATACATTTTATATAATTAAATTTTCTCACTTAGATACTCGATGCAAGAGATATTAGTACAAATACAATGTACGTACATCATCGCCCTTGTCTTCATCGCGGGAGCATAAAGATGTTGACGGAGCTTGCCAATGTCCGTCCGGCATCACTTCCAACATCTTGTCATAAGCTTCTTCAGATAATGGGAATACTCTTGGTTCATACGGCAATATCTGTACGAAAATTTTAAGAATATTATGATATCACGTGATATTTATTTAAACGATACGAGATATCATTACCGCGTGTACTTACCTCGTTATCATCTTCGGTAAATGCGGTCGCGGTATCATCTTTCCCAAGTCTTAAAGAGGGCATAGTACGACGTCGCAATGAATTTTGTAAAGCAGACGATCGGTGCGAATCTAAACCCGATGATTCTGTGTCCTGCACCTGAGACGGAGTGGCAGGTGGAGATGTGATTGGAGACGTCACGTCTCCACCAAAGTCACTGCTCGCGTGCGGCGACATAGGATCTAAAAGAGAATTTTTTTTTTCTCCCATAAAGATGCAATTTTATCGATTTATTGTTAGATAGTTGTGCTGCGAGAAGACAACTATTTAAAAAAATATCTTGAAGAAAAAGGCTAGTATAATTAAAATAATCAACAGCTTGTAGTAACGGCAAGATAAAAATTCATGACAAACGCGGGGTAACATACCTGGCGTGTTCGCACCGCTGTCTGCTCTGCTATCGATGCGACGATTGTGACGAATACGCGTTTGGTTTGGCGTGTTGAGGTATGTCATGAAACGTTTGTATTCTTCACGTTCGCTACGCTCATGCCTCAGGGCGATCGTTTCGTCCGACATGTCTTCGAACTGTCAGTCATACGATCATTGAATTAACAGTTACAAAAGAGGAAATAATACGTTATTTTATCTTTTTTTTTACCGCGTTGCTTTTTATCGCATATAAGCGATTACCTTATTATCTACTTACGTCACTATCCTGATCAGGCCTGTGCATCACACCATTCCTCACATCCATTTTCGTGGGTTCATCACACAATCTCCATCTTTAATGATATTTAAAAAATGCTTTAATGATACAATAATAATGTTAAATTAAATTAAATTAGTTTATAAATTGAAATAACCGTGAATTATAAATAAATACATATATATATATATATATATATCTCTTACTTTGGTGTTAATATCTCCTTATATTGTAACTTTTCAGGTCTAGTTGAAGCAGCGACACTATAAGGGATGACTATATTGTCGATGTCGTACGAGTTTTGTCGCAAACGCCTGAAAAATATATATATATATATCACAAATGAGTCATAGGCAGTTCATAAAACGATATTTTAGTACTGTGTTGAATTGACAAGAGCGATAGCGACTGGTGATTTCATGAATATGAAACGTAATCGTCCTCCATTTTATATTCTCAAGTAGATACTAGCATTATGGAAAACTTCGCGTGCGGGATCGATATAGTGATCTCGTTAATGGAAGAGCAATCGATGCATAAACGATGCATCAAACAACGCTTACCCATGTGAATTGGAACTTTTCTCTTTAACAACGTTTTTCTCCGTCGAGGCAGTAACGTGTTGCAATGGAGAAGGCACTGGGGATGAGTGTTTGCTGGAACTTGAAAGCGCGCTAACGTCGTCGTCATCCTCAGTCGGCAACTTTGATACTTTTTTCTTATTCAATCCAGGCACGCTTCTCTCGTGACTGAGTCTATTTCTCTTTTCATTTTTCAACATTTTTCTCTTAATCCCTGTTACAAGAGGTATACGTTATTTCACACCAGAGAAAAAGCAACGGGAGTGACTCACTCTTTTAATAAGTAAGAACGATAGATTGTACAAAATGACATCCTCGTAATACGTACGTGCTGTAAGAATAGTCGAGGATGATTTCTTTAATCGCGCGGTATACTTCGTTCTATTAGGAAGTTTCTTATTTCTTCGTTCGTTGCTGTCTTTATCTTTCACTCGGGTAACTCGCAAATTGCCTCTCAACATTTTCTGTTGCCATTCCACTGATTTCATAATAGCTTCTAAATGTGTTCCATGTACAATTTCTACAATGAACAAAAGATATGATAGATACAATTAGAGAGTTTTCTCGTTATTATTCAACAATTTTGCGCTATTTAAAATTTATTTAAAAAAAAAAACTTAAAAAACTACAAGGAAGACTAAAGATACAAACAGAAGAAATAAAGAATAATGATTTCAACTTATCAGAAATCAGATATACTGAAATATTTCTGAATATTATCGTAAGGCCCTGTTTTCAATCAATCTTCTTATAATCTAACTGACTGTTAACTCGTAGTAGTGCCAATGGACAGTTCAATGCATCGCATTTTCTCCTCTCTCTCTCTCTCTCTCTCTCTCTCTCTTTCTCTTTTAAGACAACTGTTAGCTACTACGAGTTAACCGTCAGTTAGCTTAACCGAAAATTGGTGAAAGAGACTCTTAACAAATTGCAAATGTGTACAATGCACAAACTAGGTTTTGGTTTTTTCTCTATACTCCAGGATTGAACTTCTTCGTATAGTCCATTTTTTATCTTTTTCCCGCCAATATAAAAAGAAAACAGACTAAAGATGAACTATGCAGCAAATTTAATCTTGGAGTATAGAAAAAAACAAGCCTCTAGATCAGGCCTGTCTAAATTTAACTCCGAAGCCAAAACACAAGATTTCGGAGACTGTAAAGTGTTGACAAACGTCAGAAATCTTGTTCATATTGACTTTTTTTTACACCGATGGCTTTGCCTTTGGTTCCGGAGCTAAAATTGAACAGATCTGCTCTAGATTGTATACACATATTACCGTTTATCCTTATCAACTATAAAACAAAAATATAGGTATTGAATGAAACAAGAACAATGGAATTTTTTTACATTTGCAAATAAACATACCATCAGAGAATGACAACACCGGATGAAAATTGGAATCAACAAGTGCTACACGTTCCTGTACAGAAAGCTGTTCAATTGGTTCTTGTGGCTGCATTGGATCTAGCCTTCCTGTACATAAAGCACATGCAGGCAATACATGATCACAATTGCATCTCACTGTTGACGCCTTAGCTGCACGCTTTGAAACTTCGTGTAGCCTGTCGACTTGTAAAAGCTTTCGCTTTCTATAAAAATTCCATACAAATGGACGCGTCCTACTAGCTGGTAATTCGCCCTCGGACGAATTGCATCGTCCAGTGGAACCTGGTAGAGCGCCACTGTATCCATTAACGGTTTCTGCATTTTCAAGAACGACCAGGCCTTTCGCGGCCCTAACCTGCCGTTGCAGATCGTTATGCTGTCTAATTTTGTATTCTAAATCTGATATCTGTGCCTGTAGCCAGATCCACCGTGATGCTACACCTGCACGATCCTGTGCATATCTCCATGCTGCTCTTTTCGATCTGTGCAAATAATGTAACAATACGATTGGCCTACTGATTTGTAAAATTAAACATCATACGTTGTGTGTAACAACAAACCAGTGTGTAGCCTATTATCGTAAAAACTAGACAAAATGTCGTGACCTTAAGAAGCGTTGTGGACTCGACAAATTTCACAATAAATTATTTTCGTCTTACCCCATCTTGTTTTACAAAATTACTTTACTCGAATATAATATGATACAGACAAAACACGCGTTAAATCGGAATGCCAGACGTCAAAATATTAGAACGCATTTTCGAAATAAAATATTTCATAAATAAACAAACAATATAAAGAATCCAGAACCGAGCCAAAAAACAGATTTCGGTCCGTTTTCTTGCAATGATAAACATATCACACATATATGTATAAATAAAAAAATTTCGAAATTTTTTTAAAGACTAAACTAAGGAAATTATCGCTTGTTTTTATATCAAGACATAACTCATATGAAAATTAGAAAGCTTTAAGAAGCCTATGTAAAAATCATTTAGACCATTTAAAACAATAAAGTTATTCTACTACGATTTAATGATAAAAATTGAATAAACATTAAATAATTAAAACAATAATATTACATTAAATTATGTAATATGAAATAAATGTTGTAATATTGAATCAACAATATCACACAATACAATAAATCAAATATTGTAGATTAAATTACCTATACATAACAAAACTTTACTGTGAATTACTCTGATAATTAGATAGAATTCAATTATTTACAATAATCTATAATTGTTCATAATATCATGTGATATATACAATAAAAAGTGCAATTTTTCAAAGTAACAATATATAGAAATATTTTAAGTACTTTTTATCTATTTGAGTTAAATATCATAAATAACAAATTTCTTTTTATATATTCTTTCTCTCCATAAAGCTCCATAATTTTGAAGTATAATATATTTCTTAAAAAAGTACAAAATAAATATTAATAAATTGCACAAAATTGATAAAAGCAGAATGTGTAAATGCATTTGTGCTTAATGTAAAATTAATATTAATATTAAATCTTTTGTTAAACGTAACTTACATGGACAGACGTTGCTGTTGTGTATTGTTAAATGTCTGCATTTCATCGCAACTTTCTCCACCACTGCTGGATGCTGTACAGTCCGAATCTAAATTAGATTCCAAAATATGCAATTGCGTGGACAAAGATCCAGCCATATTTTCCACTTCTTCACCATTTAGTTTAACCTGAGGAGTACCAAACACTGGCTGACGATTACCGTTACTGCCAGATGTACCACCACCCACGTTATCACGTGACCCTCCACCAAAGTACCGACACACTCTTTGACGATTCACACTATTACTCTGAGCAACACACATTTTCTCAATTTTCTGCAGAAACGAATGTAAACTACCGCCAATCTCGGGAAAGTTTCTTACATTGGATTTCGAACCAATATGAACCAATTCTTGTAGAAGGTATTTTTTTACTCCGTGATGGGCCAATTCGAGAACGCCAGTATTCTCTTCCGCCACGTGTCTGCCGATTATTCTCATCTGAAGTTTCCTCAGTCTTCTCATTAAAAATGCGCATCTCCTCTCATTCTCGAATTGTTTCTGTGCCACAATGTCCTGTTGCGATCTCAAATTGTTGGACTTTTGCTGGTCCACCGTGTCCACTGCGATATTCATATTATCGTTACAAAGACTCATTACGTCGACGTCGTTAAGTAAATCCCGTTCGAAGGAGGCGAATCCCTCCTCCTCGGGCATAGCAAACATTTCCACGCTGTCGACAGCGCCTTGAACTGGCTCACCACCGTCCGTAGAAATGTTCTCGGTACTCCCCGCACCCTCAATCGAATTGATGACCTGTAAAATTTCCTCGACGTTGTGCCCGATATCAGCGACATTCCCCATGTTGCACTGCTCGGCCGTGATATCGGTGCCGAAGGCCATGATCTGATCGACGTCCAGATTCTTATTGTCTTCCGTTTCGGTCTCATTAGCCACCAGGGGCAAGTCCACGCTCGATTTCAAGAAACCCATGTTGTTCGTTTGATCACCCATAGATGGGTCGTTCATTATAATGTCGATAATCTCCTTCCTCCCGGCGTCCGGCAGCGTGACCGGCCGCTCAAAGTCCTCCTCCTCTTCTTCTTCTTCTTCTTCTTCTTCTTCTTCTTCTTCTTCTTCTTCTTCTTCTTCCTCCTCCTCCTCCTCCTCCTCCTCCTCCGCCGCCTCCGCCGCCGCCGCCGCCGGCGCCACCGCCTGCTGTTGCAAACAACACGCCGCACCGTTCCTCGATCCGATCAGGTCGGACGCGTTCGTAAACGCGGATAGCGAGTCGAGGTTGTTTGCGTACTTGGAGTTAATGACATCGCGTATGAGGTCCTTCGAGATACCATGCAAGCACTGCTCGTCGATCTTCGACGGTTGCACGTTCGCCGGCACCACAAACTTGGACAGAATCTCACGGTTTTGGCACACCTGCGTGGCCTGCTCAGGGGACAGAAAGCCGCTGGCGGCTGGTAGGGTAGGGAGCAAGTTTTCAGGCTTTTGAGGACCACCTTCCGTCAGAGCAGGGGCCATCACTGCCACTGACGCTGCCAGTGCCGCGGCCTCCACATCCAGAGGCTCCCACGACGTGCCACAAAGTGCGCGTCCGCCGCTCCTGCACTTCCCGTGCGCCGCGCTCACTCCCATTCATCCATTACTACGGCTCTGTCCTGCGCCTCCCTTACGCGCCCCGTCCGTCGCCCTGTGTTGACTATGTATGTGTGTGTGTGTTCGACTTGACTCTTTGTCCTAACTGTTTCCTCTTTATTTCAATTAACTGTTTATCATTGGCCTGCCATCATCCGCGGCCACGTAATTACGTTGTTTCCACTGTTTCTCCCATGTTATCGATCATGAATTTCCATGGTTTATCACAAGATGACAACGATTTCCTGCAAAAATCGAAATATTGCATCATACCTCGTCACGAGTTTTATTGCAGAAATTTTAAAAAGTAAACAATTGAAACAACAAGAGTTATATGCATGAGAATTTGAAAAATAAATTGCTCAGAATATGAAAGAATAATACTATTACTTTCAACTTTTTACAAACAAGTTTTATCCTATCGTTCGATATGGAAGAATTCTTAAAAAGCTTAATTGTGCCAAGCCCTTTAATCGCACGTTCGCGAACGGGGTTATCTATGCGTTACGCAAAATTACATAACATTTTTTAAGCTACATAGATAACTGCCGTTGGAGCAGTGCCGCGAGACGAACGTGCGCACACACTCGCAATAGATTTCGTTTCGAAGGAAGCAGGGCGAAATTATAGAGAACGCAATCCAACTCACTTCGTTTCCACGTTTGAGGAGCATACTTGACGTCTTCTTAAACGTCTTCCCAAAGTATCCTTTTACAACGTAAACGAAAACGTCTCTCAGCAACGATGATGACAATGCTAACGACAACGTTATTTTCTCTTGTATAGTCGTTGCAATTCAGTTTCAGGGCGACAAAGTCGGACTTTGCGCCCGCGTGCAATAATTCGCGCAGCAGTCTCTCTCTCTCTCCGAGTTGACGACGTGGCGCTATTAAAATATTTCCGAGCGCGTCGAGATAGAAACTGTCCTGTGCCGTGTACCACTCTTCTTCCGCATCCTGGAAAAGAGAGAAAAGAAAAGTAGGTAACCATGAGCCGCCAGACGCCCTACGCTACGCTCGTGAAAGACGCGCGCGCTCGCTTCTGCAGCGAAAGCTGCAAACCACGATCATTAGCTTAATTCCAGGGAAGCATCTTACGAGTGATGGTCGAGTCCATCGGCGCGAATGATGCGTCTTGAACGCGGACGAGACTTTCGTTTAGCGCGCAAATCCGCTCATTCCGTTTCAAAATATGTTTCTTTTCAATTTGAAAAATCTCTACGTGCCGCCGCTTTTCGAGTCTGCAAAGATAGTGCGAATCTCGAGAGTTGAACGGTACGTTAAGTGCAATTGGAATAGATTCCCAAGCTGTTCAACAGATGAGTCACGCTTAACAACGCGTTACGACATTTAATTTTCAGATGGTTTTATCTTATCAGATTTTTATTAACTTACACGCAGACTGAAAAACTGTACAATTTTTATATCTGTGCGAGACACTTGATACTCTCTAACGTCTTTCGCTGGGTGTGCGAACGGTGTTTAAAAATAATAGACGTGTCTTTTATTTCGCTACACTCAAACTTGACTTCTCATTTTTGCTACAAAAATCATTTGACTACATTAATTGTTCATTTCTATCAATAAAGTTTAATTTTAATTTTCATTCAACCGATCTCTTTTTAGTTGTAAGAATTAAAAACAGATGAAGAAGAAGCAAATTGAATTGATATTAATTAAAGTTAATTGATATAAACGGAGACAAATTAATTTAACTTAATTTCTTTCACTGGAAAATGTATAAATTTAATTCAAATATCTTACGTATATCGTTTATTACAAAAAACATTAATTTAATTAATGTAGTGAAATAAACAATTTTTCTTCTCATTTTTCAAGCATATACCTGATTCATCTTGAGCATAAAAACGTTTACTAGTTTAGCTATAAAAAACAGACCTCTCGAAAGAAATCGTGAAACGAAAATCGATCGATCATCGATCGCAATTTACCTTCTCCTCTCATTCGACTCTGCCGAAGATGAGATTTCGATTGTACGCAATAAAATTCGAACCTGCACAGTGCGTCTGACGACGTTGCTATAGTTACAATGTTTGCGGTATTTTAGCGTGGATAATATTGCGCAATAAACATAACCGGATCGTCATGAATCTTGCGGGTATATGAAGCTTAGGCGACTCTGGTCGAGAAATAAAACGAAATCGACAAATACGGGGAGCGATACGGGGCGTGAAGAACAATTGATAGTAGACGACACGGAGACACCCATCGAGGCGTCCTCCGATACATACAAATGACTCACACGATCTCCCGCTGCTGATAATAGAGGAGAAACAACAAATCTCAATCGATACGATGAGATAGCGTAAATCCTGACGATACGTTTACGATTAATATACATACAAGTAGTTTTCTTTTTTTCTCGTCTCATTAATTGTTTCGAGAAACACACGCTCCGAGTTGATAGAGCCAGCTGATCTACGATCGTGTCGCTTATCAATCAATTTTCTCTCTCTCTCTCCTTATTTTCCCCCTGCCGCTCCCTCTTATCAAAGTGTTTCGCTATCAACGTGGAGCTTTGGCGCAGGCGTCCTCTTCCGATCACGCAAAGCGAATGTTGTTAAACTCGAGCTTTTTAAAAAACGAATGGCGCTTCCCTCCTCTGGGGGAAGGTTTCTCGCGAACGGAATGAAACAAGATGAAACGAGCACGAACTTGGACGCGTGCAATCGCACCGGAAGTAGCCCGATATTTCACCACGACGGGAGTAATCGGGCGTATTGTCACGGCTGCGGCCAAGTGCGAGACAAAGGCAAACGAACACGAACTCCGGTGAGAGGAAAAAAGAGAAAGAAAGATGGCAACCACGGGAATCGAGAGCGGATGAAATCCCGATAGGAAAAAGGATTCGTTGGGAAAGAGGGGAGGGGGGAGAGAGAGAGAGAGAGAGAGAGAGAGAGGAAGACTTCGACCGAGAGCGCCGGCAGAAAGACGGGCGAAGGAAAGGGAGGAGGCACCAGAGGGGAAGGGAGTCCGAGGGTTGCGAATCTCTTCCTTCGCTCACGGGGCGACACGCGCCTTCTGGCGCAACGTGTTGTAATTTCATCATCACGCGCGCACTCAGGTAAATTAAAGCAGCGGCACACGGTCTGACGCATTACCACGTGATACCCTCGCGGCGAATTAATGAAAAAGAATGGACGGCGAGAACGAGAGGAGTCGTCGTCGTCGTCGTCGTCTATTGCATAACGTGTCACGTCGTGCCGCACATTTTTTCAAACGTGCCGCAAGACGTTCCGCTCGAAACACGCGGTGGTCGGGAGCCGGCTTACGCTTCGGTCGCAATGACAAACGGCAGTCACGAGAGAGACCGGCTCCATCTGACGAGAAGGAATTTCTGTCGAGGAGCATTTAATCTCGTAGCAGCGCCACGAGATACTCTCTTTCGCACGCGAAAGGACGCTATCCGGAATCGGCCACTATTACCTCCACCTACTCCCCGTCGTATAACCACGCAGCGCGCTCCCGCGTCGGTTCACGCGTCGTCGACGGCGAGAGAGTATCGAGAGCACGTTTTATTCCGTGTCGAGAGGAACAGAACAACACACCCGCGAACACGCAGGCGGGGTGACCGCGATTTTCCACCTCCTCGTCGTTTCGAAGACGCCTAGCCGCGTATACGAGAACACGCCCGCCCGCGCGTCGTTTGTGTAAAAACGAGCGGCTTCCTTCGTTCGTGATGCCGCCACCGAGACGATCGGTCGTCTTGCAACGTACAATGGCGGAGCAAAAAACAGGCCTCGAAGGTAGTAGTCGCTTCCCTCGGATTCACGGGTTACAACTCTCTCTCTCTCTTTCTCCCCCTCCTCTCGTTCAACTCACACACGCACACACATACCATCTCTCTTTCTTTCTTACGCTATCCTCGCGCGCGCGCGCACACTCGCTCGCTCTCTCTCTCTCTCACCTCTTCGTGGCTGGGCTCAGCATGCTCTCGTGGGATAGCGCCGCAGGCTTTAGCGAGGAAACGCTGCCTGGGCTTCGGCCCTGGCGGGCCACTCTCGCGCGCAACACCACCTCGTGCACGGTGTCGCCGGTATACAAGCACCGATCTCGGACTGCACGTTCGTCACACCCAGAAACGCACACGATAATCCCGTCGTTCGCGCTCGGCTGCTCTCGTCCACCGCCGATCTCCGTTTGCGAGGCGACGCGCGCGCGTTCTCTTCTCTCTCTCTCTCTCTCTCTCTTGCGTTCCCCACGTCGGTATCTCTCTCTCTCTCTCTCTCACTCGCTCTCTTCTTCTTCTCACGTAACTGTCGTCACGGTACGTCGTATGTGCTGCACCGCGGCCATCCGCAGCGCGGGGACTAGCACTGCTTCTTCCTTTCTTCCACGCGCAAAAGAAGCACACCCGAAACACGCACGCACGCACGCACGCACGATATCGTGAAACGCCTCGCGCACGATGGCGAGGCGATTGTCGTGTTGAAAGCACGCGCGATCGGACGACACAATCGGGCTGTAATCCTCGAGGACGCTCTACGGAAAGTCGTACTCGGCAATGCTCTTCAACGCGACGCGAGCTATTTATCAATAATATATATAGAAGATTCGACCAACTTCGTTCACCACCATATCACCATGATGCCGTCGCGCGCGATCGACCAATACTGCAGCCCCGCTGGCCGGATGTGGCCTTCGTGGGCCACGATATCCAATCGGATTCGTTTGTCGCTGCCGCAACGTCCGATGCTAAAGTCCGACCCACAAACCCGCCGCAACGGCGCGACGGCGCGGACGCGCGCCGCCTAAGCGCGCATGCGCCCCGCTCCGCGATTGGTCGGCATCGCGCGCGCTTCGCAAAGACCGCCAAATTCTAACCGAAATTTACCCGTCACGGCAAATATTCGTTACGTTCGATTACCCTCGTGTTCTCGCTTTCTCTTCTCTTTCCTTTGCACGTTATTTTCAAAAACTTATATAGTACACTCCGATACAAGAGCCTACTGTCTTTAAATACGTTATCGCAAATTGCGACTTCTCTCTTTTCAAGGCTTTCAGTCGTTCCAAATATGGCATCGCGCATCGCGACGTAGGCGTGAGATTGCCGACCGTACGGCGATCCTGAGCCGGAACTCAAGATCGGGGATCCTTTTACAGTAGTAAAATATGTGTTTGTATAAAAAGGAAGCATTCGATTTGCATTAACAATTAAAGATTAATAATCGAGATACCTACTAATATTTGGGTTCTCCACTGTCTCGCGGAATCATGTAATGTGGCGCAATCGACGAGATTACACTTCGGTACTTTAACGCCAGGATCGAATGACCAGCACGAGCAACTCGATCGTGCGACACGCGACGTATTGCACCTGTCGACCGAAACTTGCATCAGATATACGGAATTTTCTCATTTATTCGCCGACCAGGCGATTTGCATAGTGTCGCCGTTAGATGTCGCGTCAAGCGCCATTTGGCGACCTCGACTAGGGTCGATCGATACAACGCGCGAACAAAAAATTTCGACCTGCAGTTTTGACATCGACGAAAGATAATATCCTAGAATCTAATTTTATTTTTTTTTATTTAACTAATTTAAATTTCTTATGTTTAAAATAAAATAAATGTTTATTCAAAATTTGGCAAAAACGAGAAATATTTAATGCGCCAGTCGATTCTACAAAACAAGCAAAAAATAGGTTCCATATGTTTAAAAGTTATATCGACCACGAATCAATTTTCACAATTATAATAATAATAATCTCCATCTACGTGTATACAATACCATATAAACTATATGTAAACTGTTTTACACGTAGATACAGATTACTCTTAATTCTCATATTAACGCACAACCCCGATTGATGACTGTAAAAAAAATTACGTATCATCCAGTAAACAATTTAATTATGAATTATCAAAATTATCGAAGGCTGTGTCTCTTCATCGTTTTTTACTAGACTGCACTATAAATATATATTAGAATTTAATAACGTGTAATAATTATTGAAATAAAATTTTTAATCATGAATCTATCAATATAAATATTCACATAATTTTCAACTTGGGATGTAGTATATAATAAAAAAATTAATTATATATAATTTATATTACTCTGTTATAGATATATAAGTTTTATAGTATAAATCAAGGTTGTGCATCTACGCGTAAATTATAATATTCTACGTCCACGTGTAGACAATGTAAACTATTGTCATCTATAATGTAGATATAATGAGTGTATTGTGTAGACAATAAACTGATAGGTTTTATTATAGGTTTTCATGATCTGAGAAAAAAATTTGATAAACAGCATTGATTTTCAACAAAGTTGTAGCAATTTAGGGCCTCTTTCACCAACGCCGATTAACTTAATCGACGATTAGTCCATTGGAATTGACTAATCGCGTCTGTCGTCAAAACTAAATGATAAATGCGATTGGTCAATTCCAATGGACTAATCGTCGATTAAGTTAATTGGCGTTGGTGAAAGAGGTCCTAAGGCCCATCCTTATAAAATCTTGATTATAATTAATTTACAAACGTTTCCTAAAGAATCTATAGCTTGTATTACGTACACTATAGATTTTTATGCAGTCTACATAGGAATTCTTTAGGAAACGTTTGTAAATTATTAATCAAGATTTTATAAGGATTAAATTAAGAAAAGTATAATTCTTTTTTAATGCTGCAGTTTATCAATTTTTTTTCAGATTGTGAAAATCTAACCTATCAGTTTATTGTCTACATAGATGAGATGACACCTTATACAATAGTTTACATACATCATCACATAGATTTCACGTAAATAATTCGTGTAGACGTAATCTTAAAATCTACGGCACAACCCTATATGTCTATATTCTGTATACGTTACCGATAATTGTCGGTGTCGTTAAGTAGCGATAGCCAATGGCAAGGACTGTTCTAGGAGAAAAATGCGATTCTTATTGGTTACTTAACGACACCGACAGTTATCGGTAGACGTGTACAGAATATGGGCCCAAGGTATAAATTATTGTTCTCTGGGTAACTTTTAATCGTATTTCAATATTTTTGGGAACACACAACTGTCGATACACGCGTTTTCGATTTGGAGACTGATGATAATCGACTTATATGATAATTTATCTACAGAGCAGTGTTAATACGATGTGCGAAAGATGGCGACACAAGTCTAATTTGGCACCGAGGACTTATTTACATTGGAATATCTTATTAATTGTAAATTAGATATATAACTGTTCGTCTTAATTATATGTTGCGACCCTTAGTTATTCGTTTGTAGAGTTTATAAAGTTCAAATTCTGTAAAAGTCTTATCGGATTGTAACAAAAAAAAAAAGGAATAGTATAAAATCTAGGGTATTCTTATATTTCTAAATACTTTAGTTTTTTTTTTTTTTTTAGAATTAATAATAATAATATGTCATTAATTGGTAAGTTTGTACAAGCGACATCTATCATAAGTGTAACGACTGTAAACTATTATATGTATATGTAACAATCTGTATTCTCATTGACTGTATATATACGTTAGTAGGCTAATAAATGATATATCTGAAAACGCGTGTATTGAGTTTCATAGTTCCATTTCATTAAAAAAAGCAGAGTATGAACCCGTTCGAGCAAAATTAAAGATCCTCACATTCGATAATTACATATTATATACATATATTATACTCATTATCAGTTTAGAAAACATGTCTTTGTTTCTAATTACATTGAAATTAAATCCATCGATTGTCAAAAATTAGGTTCTTTGTGACTATATATTTTTTACATTTTTACTTCTTCTTTTCTCTCCGATATCTATATAATTGTACGTCTGTTTCATTTTAAGTGCGGAAAATGTAACGTAATGAAGCTATAAATATAATAATAAGAAATAAATAAGTTTCATGATCAGTAATCTTCGTTTTTTGAATTATATTGTAAAAGGCTTATTTTTTTTCATCGGAGTGATTTTCATTAATCAAATATGGAAGGCGGAATCTATATACCTAATAGTCAACTTCGCATTTCAACTCGAATCGTGATTGATCAGTGGAAAAACGTGATTTTCGGACACGTTTTATCACGCGGATTTAGCCCGATACTTCCAGAATAATTTATAAATCCAAACAATTTTGTCGCGACTATAATCGGCATCGTTGGGAAATTAATTAAAATCGCTTGCTGCGGACTGCCGCTGTTTTTACGAACGTTTCGTTTAATCGATGCGAATGATACCATACGTATCGTTTCGCGAAATTTCGAAATATATGTGACTGAAAAACGCGTAGGAAGCGAGAACGGTAAAGAGAGAAAGAAAGAAAGGAGAGAGAGAGAGAGAGTGTGTGTGAGTGAAGAGCGGGGGAAAAGGGTGAGCGAGGAAGGGAGTAAGAGGGAGGGAGAGAGGGCGAGCGCGCGAGAGGGAGATATGGAAGCTAGCGTGAATATTTTTACCCAAGCCTGTTAACTACACTCTGTTATTTTATCTCACGTACGCGGCTTTCCTACTACCACCGTCGCGCCGGCGCTGGAATATAAGTTTTAAGGCGTGTTTTGATAGCGTCAGGGCGTGTCAGCCGGGGCTTCCTACCTAATGGATCGCTTCTTCGCTCGTTCGTTCCGTACTTTTTGAAGAGTGCACAGCTCATGATACCGCGAAACTTCCTTTCCTCTCCGCGTCCCTCATGCTCGCTGATGCACCTTGCGTTTCGCGAAATTACGTGATTCTTTTCTTCAGCCGATCTTAACACACGCGACACTTTATAGAACACTTTGTATATTTATTGCGGTCGAACAACGAGAAATTTACAAGAATACAGTAAACGTATCGAAAAAGGATATATTTACTTATGTATACATTGTGCGTTCATCTTTAAGAAAATTTTCAAATTTGTGCTTCCTACATAATTATTTTGACAATTCAGTAAAATTATTTTCATATTTGTACCTCTATATAGCTAAAATTTCAAATACTTCAGCAGAACTATTCTTTCCATTTATGTATTGTACGCACAAACATTACAAAACAATTTTATTTTACATGGATAATCATTTTTTTATTACGAAAAGACGCTAATAAAATTATGCAAAAATCATGAATCGAGATTAAAGAAGTCTGGTATTAATAATCAAGTCTAAGTGATTATTACCATAATGAAGTTTCATAAATTCAAAAAATTTTTTTAAAAGAATAATTAACTAATTTATATTCTTGAGATCTATCTTCCTGAATTATATTTCTCAGCCATACATATATTTTTAATAATATAATAATTTTTGTTTTATTGCCTAAAAAACATATTTGCGAGATAATTTCTTCGAACATTTATAATATCGCACATTTTATTTCGCATCATAAATAAGATTTTTTTCAAAGATATATTTTGTACGTATGAGATGAAATTATATTGAAAGAAATCGGATGTAAACTAAGATAAGCTCACTCATCCAAATTAAGGACAGTCTTAAATTTTAATTCTTATTTATTCCAAATTTTATTCTAATTAAGGACATGATTATGAGTTATTCCTTTTTTAAGTATGAAAGTAATAAGTGAAAATAATAAGCATGAAATATAATTATCAACTGATGTATGAAAATAATAATAAATAAATAAGGTAAAAGACTCTTATTCTAAAATCAAGAACCAGGAGAGTAAACTCGATCAAATATCGGTAGAGGGGGTAGGCCAAAAAGTGACGGCGGATAACTTTCCCCACTCTTGCGCTTCATTAGTCCTCTCTGTCGCTCTGATAGTCGTTTTCAATTCGTGACTGCGCATGTCAAACAAACCTTGTTTGACATGTGCATTTAATGTGCAGTATAATTTTTTTTTACAACTTACATTCTGTTTAAGATGGTTTAAGAAGATTTTTTTTTAAGTGTGTCCCTCGGATGAGGGGAAAACAAAGGTTAAGAACAAGAACTTTTTGGTTATAACCGATGCGCGCATGCGCAAACTTTCATATAATGTGCAATGCCACTGCGCATTGTATGAATAACCGCGGACGTTTTTTGACCTACCCCCACCACGCTAGTTTATTCTCCTGGTTCTAGTCTTCTTGTCTAAAATATAAAATAAAAAACTAAAAAGACAAATGAAGAGTCAAATATTAAAATTTCTTTAATCGCGTAGAGTCAAAAGATAAAATGAAATAACATAAAATGACAAGAAAGCGAGAATAAATTCGAAGATATAAAAAATACGTATACATATATAACAAGAACAGACTTTTACAAAAATAAATAACCGTAATCATCAAATATTTAAAACAGGTTTCGACTCGTGGATTGAGTCTTCTTCAGAAGTAACAGACAAAAAACCATGGTGCAGATAGCAAAATCATTGATGATTAAAGATGAATCCATCATCAAAGTAAGGAATTCATTACAAACGATTGATAGATCGGTAATAAATCTGTGGAAGAATCAAGACTATTAATATAGGTATAAATGATTAACAAGAACTAAATTTTAGTTTCCAAACCTTAATTAATGGACTCATTAACACACGATTATTGTATAACAGGTTGTCACGCTTGTCGGAATACATAATTAATCGGTTAGAAGACGAAACGAAAGCAGAAAATTAACACGTCTGTACGATATACAAAAATTGACTATGATCTAAAAAGGTAGCAGCACGACAAAGTCAAATTTTGTTTATCAACGGAATGTATGTCTCATGAAGGTTTTTCAGTGTCTGTTTGCAAATTTAAACTGTTCTTCTGTGTCTTAATGTTAATCATCTCAGACACTATGCGTTTCCTGCGTAATTAGGTTCTTCATCAAGGATTTTTACTTCATTCCATCTAAAATAGTCATGGCCGTGCTGCAACCTATGTTCGGTAATCACTGAACGAGTTGTCGTGTTACGTTTAATATGGTTCAGATATTCTCGTTGTCTACTAGTTTGGCCGACGTAAGACGCATCGCAATCATTGCATGAAATTTTATAAACTACGTTGTTTCTAGAATCTTTTGAGAGGGAATCTTTTTGTACTTAAACATCATTTTTGCTCATTTTGTTCGGGCTACGAAAAGAAACTCTGATATCATTATTATGAAATCTTTTAAATTTTTCCGTGTGACAAGGAACGAAAGGTACCGTAAGCCAAGACACAGACTCTGAATTATTTTGAATATTGGTAGGTTGGTCATTAACGATATATTTATTTTTTAACAAGTATTTTAACCGTTGATTAATGATATTAAAAATGAAAAAGTAAAGGATATCTAGTAAAATATTAATAATGAAGTTGAAATTCTTATAATGAAAACTAATATCCGACAGAAAGAAGACTCTGTCGACTAAAGAAAAGACTGTACCTTTTTTCTGAGATAATGAGTGGTTGGAGAGAAAATTCAAAAACCTACTCGAAAAAGTAGGCTTACGGTACCAATCAAAAACTAATCTATTATCCCTCTTAGAGACGTCTAGAAACTCCAATTTATCACCTCCAAATTCAACAGTAAATTGGAGACGAGGATGAAATTCATTAAATTTACACAATAATAAGTTAATATCCGACGGATCAACCGCCAGGCACACATCATCCACGTATCTGTAATAAAAAGGAAGTTAAACGACGACAACGCTAGCGACTCAAGCCTTCTGATAACTAGGTCCGCCACAATAGGTGATAGTGGTGTGCCAAAACATTACTTATAAATCTTTTTATCAAAAACGAAGTATGCAGAATTAAAAACAAGGTGTGTTGCCTCCAAAAATTCTTCTTTAGGTAGAGAACATGCTCTGGAAATAAAACACCACTGTTCGTTAATGCAATCAATCGCTATATGTCAAGAGGGACGTTTGTAAATAACGAAATAACATCAAGTGACACCAATTTATATTTATCATCAATATTTAAATCAAATATTAATATACATATAAAATACACATATATTCAGTGAAAATGTATAATTTAAAAAAATAAAATGTGATCTCTTGATATAATTTTTGTTGTGATCTCGCATATGATGTTATATTAAGTGTTATTATAGATATTTACAAATATAATAATAATTACAAAAAAAAGTTTAATAACAATTAAAATTTAATTACGACAATTTGGCATTAATTTTTTTTACGTTACTTCTTCCTATAAGGAGGTGGTCACTTTATAATGTAAACGCATCCGTCCGCAGGTAAATGCATTTCTTTTCCGAAATTAATTTATCTCTCGCGTAATATCGCGTATGTGTCGCGTACGCGGCAATATATGTAATAGCCGCAACAATGACGGTGACACCTGCAGACGCGTGATCGGATCTCGACCTGCTGGAAAAACCGCTTTGCCACCGATTATCCGTTTCGATGATAATTTCTCGTTGCAGAAGGATGAATGGAAATGGTGGTGGGTGCGTGCGTGCGTGCGGTGAGAGCGTGGATGAATGAACCGGCGCAGCGTATACGCAGAAACGCGAGCGCGCGTCGTTGTTTTGGTTATTTTGGCAAACCTAACATAACACGGCTTGTTGTTTAACAAAATAATTGATTTTGTCGCCTCGTCTCCGTGCTGCCCCACCGCGCCCCTCGCCCTCGTCGCCGTCGTCGCGCTTCCTCTCTTTCCTCGTTCTTCGCGTTCGCCAGTTCTCGTTCATCTCACTTATCCCCTTCGTGTCTCTCTTTCTCTCCCTCATCGACGACTCCCTCGATCCTCCCGATCTAAGACACGCGCGCCGGATAGCGGTCGCTACTACTTAGCTGCCATACGAAAACAAATTGTTCGATTCCGTTTGTTTGCCGTTGCACGATGAAGATCTCGCGTGGATTAGTCCTCGCGCGAACAAGACTATAAGTCGGCTTGTATAGCATCAATATCGTCTCGTCCCGTTCCTTCGTCGGTTTTATCATTCCATCTTTTAGCCTTTCTTCCGGGTATTAATGCGCGAGAGCAAAGTCGCGCCCGACGGCTTCGAAATTTTAGAAAACGCGCGAGTCGTGAAAGAGAGGAGACGTGTCGTAATTATAGAAAGAGCGCAAGGTTTAAACGAGAACTGTCGTCACTCATCGACATCAGCGCTCGGCTTTTTTTCGCCACCGCAATGTTTGCTTTAGTAAAAGCGAGCGAAAGAGTCGTGGCGTTAATACTAATTCGAGATTCAACCCTGTGTCGAAGACTCGCCGGAGGATACTAACACCGACGACTGACGATGTCCTCGCCGCGCCGCGAGCTTCCTCTTCACGTTTGTCCCCTGCAGGCGGACGAAAAAATGGAGGACGAGTATAGTGATACTCGTCTTTTCGAGTAAGAAAAATATTATTTCTGATACGCGTAGTAAATAGACGAGTTTAGATGGACTATGTGTGTACTTCGCTAATACAATTATAATACACACGAGTCGATTGGTATACTTGTGATGGCTGTGAGAGATGACGTAAAAATTACATTAATCCTTTCTGACTTATTGTTAGTTTCGGTATTACGAATAAATGAGATCACTATGTTACGTTAATACTCACCATAGCATTCAAAATCAATTTCGTGAAACGTTAATTCTTACGTTCAAAAGTAAATGATATTTACTTGAACAAGAGTGCTATTGTACTTATTAAACGATTGAATATTCAAGCAAATATTATTTCCGAATTATCCGCAAACGTTTAGAGTGTGATTCAGATGTGGGGAATAAGAGATGTCGCAGATGAAATTGATACTTTTGCGCGTTTTCAGAAATGTGCGGGTACAGAATCCCAAAAATTAGGCGTCGCTCTTCCGGATTGGAAGGAGGTCTTCTCTCTTTGTGCCTGAAATACACCCCGAGATCCCCGAACGAACGGCATCTGTAATAACAAGGCCGTTCTTACGGTCCACTCTTCCCCTCGCGAACGAGACGCGAGTTGGGCTTTGAGTGTTCGATTAGCCGATCGAGTATTACACGTTTAACGTGAGCGCGACGAGATCCCACAGCCTTTCAAATTTTCTTGCGTGCCATGGATACGAACTGTATAATGCAAAAAATGATAGAAATTAATGAAACATTGACGAATTAAGTTGATCCACAATAATCGCATAGACGGATGAAAATAATTAGAAACGTTGAATGATAATTGAATCTGCTTCTATCCTTTTTATCTAAAAGCATAAGAATAAAAAATTAAGCATATGTTTCTGCAATAATCTGCAAATAATTTAGAGAATAAAGTATGATGAATACAATTAATTATAATTTTGTGCAACGAAGCTTCATATTATAAGAATAGATCAGCAGAATTAGATTAGCAGTGGATTATAGAAATACATTAAGAATATAAATAGTCCTGACACCTTCAATTTTTTAATTTTGATATTAATTAGTTTTATATATATGTATAATTGGCGAGCCTCCGCTCAAAAATAGACTAGATGCGTGAAACGGGTTTTTTTATATCCATAAAAAAACCTTTCTAGATTCAACGCTATTATTTTTTGATCTGTCATAAAATAAGATCAGACAATTATATTCTATTATTAACAGGAAAGAATATTTTACTCTTAAACGGAAAATTCTTAAATCTAGAATGAATTATCTTCAACATTCATTTAGTGTCATATGGTACCATGTATTGTTGCATTACAATATATCGGATAAACTTAAAATATGTACTGACTTTTGTCTCAAGACAATATAAAGTCAATTTTATTATTTAATTTGGAGAAGGAGAATCACAGAATTAGTGATCTTAATATTTTGTTTTATTTTTATACTACAAAAAATTACGATAAGATGAAGTAGGTATACGTGAAGAATATTTGTTGTCTCGTTACCAGAAGTTCTTTCTGTGAGGTACAATCGTCTCGGAAAATAAATTTCTCCCGCGTCGCCGACGTTATTCGCTCTGCTTAATTCAATTCCGCTCGTTCACTCGTTCGCTCACACATGCGCATGATCGCAAGTGCGCGAGTACTTAGCACCGCCGCCGTGGCGGCGGCGGCGGCGGCGGCGGCGGAACGCAGCCCCACGGTCGATATGTGGTCACAATGAAGGGTGTGGCATTTGAGGACCAGAAGCTTCTCGCTCTACCGTCCGCTTTATCCTACGATTGGCTGTTGCCAGGTGTCGAGAATGGCGGACCTTGGCGGCGGCCCCGTCAAACCCCTTTTCGCGCCCCATCTATTCGACGGTTCCGTCGGACTGCCGGCTCCCTCCGAGTCTCTCTTTACAGAGGATATTTTGCGTAAGAAATGCGGTAAATTTACCGCCGTTTTATTCTCTTTCTCTCACGTATTTAATTGTTATTGTTGACATCTCTGAGATTTTAATCAGACTATCCAGGAAGATGTAAGCGTTTCTTACTAAACTAATTGATACAAATACTGATCAAATGTTAAAATTATAAACGTCACACAAAAATGCATAAGGCAATAAAACAGTAAGCAGTAATCAACATTTTGGATTTGATACCCTTTTACTGTAATTGGAAAAGATTCGCTTACTCACATCCTAATACTACCTTATATTATTTTTGTACGTCATAAATTTTATTCCAACGCCATAAATTTGACAATTTAATTTTTCGCTCAAAGGCGAGCGAATATGAAAAATTAAATTGCGCTTTGAGTAATTACAATGGATCGAATTTTCTTCGCTAAAAGAAATCTGTATTTTTAACAGTAAGAGGAAATCGAGACGTTTTACTTTTCGGTATATGTATAAATGGACGAGGCGTTACTATCTACTCTTAAATTTCGGATGTACATGTTCGACAAATACATTTGCATATCATATTCGATTCATTAATTACTCTGTTACGCATAAATCAGATTATTTTATTGATGCAATTTGCCAACATGAGTGTTTATTATCTCACAGAAATTGCATTACGCTTAAATTTATCTCCTCATTAATTATTCAACAAATGAAATACTAAAGTATTGCATTGACAAAAAGTACTTTTTCTATTTCGTCGAAATTTATAACAGTGTTCCAAGCTATTCTACAAGCACGATAATTATCAAGTGAAAAGTCAAGACCATTTTTATTTTTTTGTTCAAGGTTCCTTCTGTTTTCTCGGCAAAGCATATAGGTATAACTTCCGTGGTGCACAGCATTTACTATTTTAATGGATACACGTGTCGTGTGAGTATTTTGGATCCGCGGTGCATCGCGCGCCGACGAAGATTGATGAGGTACGCTCACTACTAACTAACTAATTTATTTGTGCTAACTAACTTTTCGCGGCGAACGTACCACGTTCTCCGCCATCGTCGACAAATGGTCAAAATTCCAAGAGAACGATCGTTACATTTACGAGTTGTGAACTGAATTTATGAACTGCGAAGTCCGGAAGACGCTGCTCTTTTTATTTTACTTGGAAAGCTATCAATCAAAAGAAGCTATCAATCATACAAAGGAGAACTTTTCTTGTATTCTACTTCATAGTTTCGAAAACTTTTCACTCCTTTGAGTCGTATTATTCGACTTAATGCAAGATATATGCAGTTTGTTTTGAATTAAACTCGCTCTACTATATATGCATTTAAATTTAAATTCAACAAGCGCGAGTAAATTATAAGCATTTCGGCGCGAGATCACCTTGATTTTCGGATGCAATTCGCGTAAATCAGATCGACGGTAGTTAGTGGATGAAGCATCACCCCGCGAGATTAAGGCCTCTGCGTCAAGCCGCAAAACCAGAACCTCTCTTAGTATACGGGGTTCCGGGGCGCGCCCGTTCGCTAGCTCGCGTGCTATGAAGAAACGCGGAGGTTATTCCTGGTTGAACAAACACTGGAATGGGTCGCGTGCGCCTCCCACATATTTATAGATTTTATCTCCCTTTGACTCTGGCGTCTCGCGCGCCGTGCCAGGCGTTCGCGCGCGCAGTATATACGAAAGGAGAGAAGATGAGAAA